AAATGCATTCATATGGACAGCATCTTTCTTTTATCAAGGACGTACATCCATCCTTGATCATGAGCACATACTCCGTAGTTCTGATTTACATAGAATTTTCGCTAAATATCTCTGAAAAAATGTATTTATTGGCAATTTTAAACGGAATTGATGGACGAACACGAAAAAGCAATTACATGAAATACTGTATAAAAGCAGACAACGTATCAAGCATCCTGATAATGTCTTTTAAACATGAAAAAATTATGTGTATCATTTGACCTTTCCTAATGCATGATATATGTATCTTCGTTTGTTTTTGTAGTTACTATTCTTCAACTTTAGAATGTGGTTTTAGGCAGAAATTTGTTTTTATGTCTATTAGACTGAAATACCAGAAAACGACTTTCAAGACTAGCAATAAAGGTAGATTTTATATTTTGAGACGGTCTCACTTTCTCAAGAGTAGATTTTTTATAGAATATTGCAAAAAACTAAAATTTTAGCTGAAAATGTTATAATTTTATCAATTTTCAAAAACTTACCAATTTTTTCTTTTTTCATATATATATATTTCGTCTTTCTGAACATTCATGCAAAAGAACAAAAGCTCTGGCAAAAATATCTCTGCACTTGTTTAAATATATTTCAAGGACAAGAGATAATCCCAAATGATCAATCATTTTTATTCTGCTGTACAATCTTCATCAGTCCTGAAGCAATAAAAAGAATCATAAGATAAAAGTTTAGCTTGAATCAATAAGTAACTTAAAGGAGAGCTAAAATTTTAGCTGGTTCCTTTTCAGACCAAAAGCTAAAATTTAAGCTTCCATAAATTAAGATAACATTTTAGCTTCCATTATGATAAAATTTTAGTTTTGCAGAAAAAATGATAAATTTTTGCATTATTGACTTAACATAATATTGCAAACAAAGATATAATTTTAGCATAAAATTATAGGTATTATAACATCGATGATGGCATTACCTCTGTTAACCTTAAGACTAATTGATTGTTGGTTGCTTTATGTTCAGTGGCAAATAGTTCATGCATTTTGAAGACAAGAACAAATTAACAGACAAAAGGTAGGTCCTGTAAAAGGACTCAAAAGGGATGAAATTTGAACTATCACTGGCTGGTAAATTGGACAGGACATAGAGTAAGAAATTTGACCTTTCAAACCCCACCTGTGCACAGCTCATCAAGTAATAAATGCTGAACAATTCCTCATGGTTATTTGCATAAACAAACAAGTGACTAAATGAGTTACTAGACATCAGGTCATATTCATGTAATGACTCACTGACATTAATTCTGAACAATTCCTCATGATTTGATTGGTATGAACAAACAAGTGGCTATATGATTAACGGGACATAAGATCATACACTCACATACAGACATTAACAGTAATAAATGCTAAACAATTCCTCATGGTTATTGGTATACACAACCAAGTGGCTATATGAAAAACTGAAGAAAGGTCATATACTGACTTGCAGACATTAACAGTCATCAATCTTTCACAATTCATCATGGTTATTGGTATAAACAACCAAATGGCTTGTGAGAAACTGAAGAAAGATCATATACTGACTAACAGACATTGACAATAATAAATGTTGAACAATTCATCATGGTTATTGGTATAAACAAACAACTGGCTATATGAATAACTGGACATAAGGTCATACACTGACTTACAGACATTAACAGTATTGAATCCTTAACAATTCTTCATGGTTATTGGTAAAAACAAACAATTGGCTTTATAAGTAACTGGACCTAAGGTCATACACTGACTCTCAGACATTAACAGTAATAAATGCTGAACAATTCCTCATGATTTTTGGTAAAAACAAACAAGTTGCTATATGAGTAACTGGACATCAGGTCGTCGATTGACTCACAGACATATACAGTAATAAATGTGAAACATTCCAAATGGTTATTGGTATAAACAAACAAGTGGCTATATGAGAATATTGACATAAGGTCATACAGTGACTCATAGACATTCACAGTATAAATACTGAACAATTCCTCATGGTTTTGGGTAAAAACAAACAAGTGGCTCTATGAGTAACTGGACATAAGGTCATACACTGACTCACAGACATTAACAGTAAAAATGCTGAACAATTCCACATGGTTATTGGTATAAACAAACAAGTAGCTATATGGGTAACTGGACATCAGGTCATACACTGACTCACAAACATTGACAGTAATAAATGTGGAACAATTCCACATGGTTATTAATAAAAACAAACAAGTAACTGGACATAAAGTCATATACTGACTCATAGAGATTAACAGTAATAAATGCTGAACAATTCCTCATGGTTATTGTTATAAACAAACAAGTGGCTATATGAGTAACTGGACATCAGGTCATACACTGACTTACAGACATTAACAGTATTGAATCCTTAACAATTCTTCATGGTTATTGGTAAAAACAAACAATTGGCTTTATAAGTAACTGGACCTAAGGTCATACACTGACTCACAGACATTAACAGTAATAAATGCTGAACAATTCCTCATGGTTATTGTTATAAACAAACAAGTGGCTATATGAGTAATTGGACATCAGGTCATACACTGACTCACAGACATTAACAGTAATAAATGCTAAACAATTCCTCATGCTTATTATTATAAACAACCAAGTGGTTGTATGAGAAACTTAAGAAAGGTCATATACTGACTTGCAGACATTAACAGCAATAAATGCTGAACAATTCCTCATGGTTATTGGTATAAACAAACAAGTGGCTATATGAGTAACTGGACATGAGGTCATACACTGACTTACAGACATTATCAGATATCAATCCTTAACAACTCTTCATGGTTATTGGTAAAAACACACAAGTGGCTCTATGAGTAACTGGACATAAGGTCATACACTGACTCACAGACATTAACAGTATAAATGCTTAACAATTCCCCATGGTTTTTGGTATAAACAAACAAGTGGCTATATAAGTAACTGGACATAAGGTCATACACTGACTCACAGACATTAACAGTAATAAATGCTGAACAATTCCTTATGGTTATTGGTATAAACAAACAAGTGGCTATATGGGTAACTGGACATCAGGTCAGACACTGACTCACAGACATTAACAGTAATAAATGTGGAACATTTCCACATGGTTATTAATAAAAACAAACAAGTAACTGGACATAAAGTCATATACTGACTCATAGAGATTAACAGTAATAAATGCTGAACAATTCCTCATGGTTATTGGTATTAACAAACAAGTGGCTATATGAGTAACTGGACATAAGGTCATACACTGACTCACAGACCTTAACAGTAATAAATGTGGAACATCTCCTCATGGTTATTGGTAAAAACAAACAAGTGGCTATATGAGTAACTGGACATAAAGTTATACACTGACTAACAGACATTAACAGTAATAAATGCTAAACAATTCCTCATGGTTATTGGTATAAACAACCGAATGGCTAAATGAGAAACTGAAGAAAGGTCATATACTGACTTGCAGACATTAACAGTTATAAATCCCTAACAATTCCTCATGGTTATTGGTATAAACAAACAAGTGGCTGTATGATAATATGGACATAAGGTCATACACTGACTCATAGACATTCACAGTATAAATACTGAACAATTCCTCATGGTTATTGGTAAAAACAAACAAGTGGCTAAATGAGTAACTGGACATCAGGTCATACACTGACTCACAGATATTAGCAGTTATAAATGTGGAACAATTCCACATGGTTATTAATAAAAACAAACAAGTAACTGGACATAAAGTCATATTCTGACTCACAGACATTAACAGTAATAAATGCTAAACAATTCCTCGTGGTTATTATTATAAACAACTAAGTGGCTATATGAGAAACTTAAGAAAGGTCATATACTGACTTGCAGACATTAACAGTAATAAATGCTGAATAATTCCACTTGGTTATTGGTATAAACAAACAAGTGGCTATATGAGTAACTGGACATAAGGTCATACACTGACTCACAGACATTAACAGTATAAATGCTGAACAATTCCCCATGGTTTTTGGTATAAACAAACAAGTGGCTATATAAGTAACTGGACATAAGGTCATACACTGACTCACAGACATTAACAGTAATAAATGCTGAACAATTCCTTATGGTTATTGGTATAAACAAACAAGTGGCTATATGGGTAACTGGACATCAGGTCATACACTGACTCACAGACATTAACAGTAATAAATGTGGAACAATTCCACATGGTTATTAATAAAAACAAACAAGTAACTGGACATAAAGTCATATACTGACTCATAGAGATTAACAGTAATAAATGCTGAACAATTCCTCATGGTTATTGGTATTAAGAGCCAATCTGCCAGAAAACCATGCAAAACCGTCCGAATGTCACTTTTTCCAAATGAGTTCATATTTGGCATATTGGTGCACCTTAGTAATGTAAATAACCACACAAATTTTTTTGGGAAAATATTGAACCGATCTGGATATTTTTTGAGCGCCATGTTTTAACAGATGAAATTGCTCGAAAACAGCAAAAATAAGCCTTTTTTGGCATATTTCGCTGGTTTAAATAAAAAAATGTGGTAACATTTATAATTTTTTGATAGTTGTTCCTAGTAATACATCACTTTAAGTGTAAGAATGCATAGAATTAACAATGCTGTCTATTAAGTGTATGTATAATCTAACTGTTTCAATATGTCTTATTTAGCTACATGTCCAAAATGGCTGATTTTGGTCATCTTTCAGAGCCAACATACTCCAAGACCCGTTTATTATTGTAAAACAACATATCTACTTGCAAAGTATAACTATATATACCCAATCAAAAAAAATATCAAGCTCGGCAAATAATGTTGGTGTCTGGTATATGCCACAACAAAATGGGGTAACCTGCATATTCAAATTTTCTCAATTTTGCCGTCTAATTTGTAACTACTGACATATGATAGGATCTGGACTTATAAATAAGTATAACAACAAATGGAAAAGAATAATTAATGTTTCATTTAATACATTAAGAAAATAATCATACATAAATACAAATTATTCATTATAAATCTAGAGGCTCCCAGGAGCCGAAATAGATCGTATTGACAAATTGTGCACCTAAAACGATAAAAAACACATATTTCAAACGCAATCAATTTAAATTAGAAGTTAAACAATTCAGAATAAGTTCAGACTGTAAAAAAAAAGTTTCTTCTGACCACTTTTGCAATTTATTCTTATAATATATTGACATAGTTGTCGGATAGTAGCAGAAAACTGTGAAAATTTGTAAATTTACACATTTCAGGGACAATAGCTCATAGATGTTATGTCCAATTTTTCAGAAAAATTTTGGGTATTTAGATCTTGTCATGTTGATAGTTTTTATCAATATATATATATATATATATATATATATACAAACAAGTCTAAAATGAAAACAACGTTCAAACCTATGATTGCGTTGGATAAAAACCGCAATTTTTATACGTGTGCATGCAAAACAAATTTCTTGGTAGAGGGGTCTAAATACAGCACAAACAACATTTTCCAAAAGACCAAATGAGTGAAAAAGTATATATATATATATATATATATTGAAAAGTTTTTAAATTTTGTATACATATATATATGTATGACACTTCTTCTAAAGTTATTAAGATGATGGTTTAAAAGTGAAAACTGTAAACAGATGATTTTAACAGACACTTAGTGATGGAAATTTTTTTATGACCCTTTGAGCCTAGTATGCTAACAAGGCAAGATTTGCCAGGTACCTATATCTATGTTGCTGCAATGTGGTCAATACAAACATGAAAATCATAAATGCTGCTAAAAATAAATCCCATAACTAGACGAAAAACAAATTACTTAGTCTATATATACCAGTGCAAAATTTATAAAGAATTTTGAATGAAATTGGATAGCTGTTAAGATTACTGTACCTATAATGCTCTACATCACATCCTCGGAGATAACAGAATTAAAATAAGTCATATGAATCTTCAAATTTCAATAAAGTTGAATGTGTTTTTTTATACTTGAACGGCTATAGGTTTTACTATAAAACAAGTGTACATTAACTTTCTTGTAAAAGAAAAACCATAACATTAAAATCTCCATAAATGATGAACTGTTATTTTTTGAGACATCATCCCATGGAAGATTTAACTGATGTTTTAAAGTTGGAAAGTTTCTGTTGCTTGTTTGGTTGGTTGAAATTGTTTCTGTTAGAAGCATTATCAGTCTCCCAATCTGATGTTGACTACTGTGAAAGTTCAGTTGTTGTTGACACTGACAGAAAGGTTAGCTGCGAGTCTAGATCTGAAAAACCACAAAACATACATACATAAATCAGGCTGTTAGTTTTCATATTTTTTCATTTTCTTATTTTGGGGCCTTTTATGGCTGAATATATATGCAGTATAGGTCTTGCTCATTGTTGAAGGCCATATGGCATATGAAGACCTATAGCTTTACTTCTATGTCATTTGTTCTCATTGGCAATCATACCACATTTTTTTTTAATTTCATATATACCACTGACAGGTAATAAAATTGACAACTTTTACTGTAAGTGGATGCAGTTACAAAATTCTCCCAACTAAAGCCAAATCATTTTTGCAGAATAGTTATTATCCACTCCTTTTAAGCATGTCCAAATAGCCCTTAACATCTTTACAACAATAAAAATTGCCTCCATTTGGTTTGGCATGTCAAATTACCTCTCAATACAATTTTACATTGAAAACAGACAATGGTGATAATTTGACCGCTTTTAGTGACAATCTTTGAAATGGTGGCCATCTTTATATCTGTTCTCTGTGTCAAAGTACAGTTAAATATCAATATTCTTTAAAATCAAACTCAACAAAATTGAAAATTTTACCCTTTATTTGCTGTGTCCATCTTAAAAAAAAATTTCATTGTTTTGTTGGCATGTCAAAAGTGCTATAATTCCTTAATGTCAATTTTCATATAAGGCCATCTTGAAAATGTTTGCCATTTTGGAAGAAAAAACAACCTTACTTTGTTTAGCAAGTCAAACTGCCACAACTATCCCTAATTAGCAATTTTCATTAAATTAACCAGTGTTGAAATTTGTGCCATCCTTGGTGGCCATCTTGAAAATGTTTGACATCAGATAATCATCCACATATTGTGCTTTTCTTTTCACTAAAGTTTCATTTAAAAAGATAACACCAGATTAGATTCAGGCTGAATCAGCATCTTTAAAATTATTGTTGAAATCAAACACAGTTAAATTATGGACCCCATTTGAACCAACTTGAAAACTGGGACCAAAATCATAAATCTAAGTACATATTTATATTCAGGATATTTGATTATTTCTATTTATCATTCAAAGAACCCTAATTCATTGTAATTAGAGTTCAAGTTTTGTTACATTTAAACTAAGTTAAAATTTGGACCCTTTGGACTTTAAAATGTGGACAAATTTAAAAACCGGACCAAAATTAAAAATCTAAATATAAAACATTTGCATTTTGTATATCAAAAGAACCTCAAGAATTCAAGTTGTGTAAAAATAAGAAAAAAAATTTTGGACCATTTTGAAATCAATGTGAAACAATTTAAAATGGGGCCCAATTGCAACATCTTAAACAAGAGTGCACACGCTGAAATGTCTCGCCTTCTTTACTAATCATTGATATTATGTTGATAGTCCTAAATATAAAGCTTTATTACAACTGTCACATAAACTTAACATAAACCAAGTAAACTAAACATTGACCAATGAACCATGAAAATGAGGTCAAGGTCAGATGAACCATGCTAGGCAGGCATGTACAGCTAACAATTCTTCCATACAACAAATATGGTTGACCTATTGCTTATAGTTTAAGAAAAACAGACCAAAACACAAAAATTTAACACTGAGCAATGAACCTTGAAAATGAGGTCAAGGTCAAATAAAACCTGCGTGACTAACATATAGATCATAAAATATTTCCATACACCAAATGTAGTTGAACTATTGCATATAGTATTAGAAAAAAAGATCAAATCTCAAAAACTTAACTTTGACCACTGAACCATGAAAATGAGGGCAAGGTCAGATGACACCTGCCAGCTAGACATGTACACCTTACAATCATTCCATACACCAAATATAGTAGACTTATTGCATGCAGTATTAGAAAAAAAGACCAAAACTGAAAAACTTAACTTTAACCACTGAACCATGAAAATGAGGTCAAGGTCAGATGACACCTGCCAGCTAGACATGTACACCTTACAATCATTCCATACACCAAATATTATAGACCTATTGCATACAGTATAAGAAAAACAGACCAAAACACAAAAACTAAACTATAACCACTGAACCATGAAAATGAGGTCAAGGTCAGATGACACCTGCCAGCTAGACATGTACACCTTACAATCATTCCATACACCAAATATAGTAGACCTATTGCATACAGTATAAGAAAAACAGACCAAAACACAAAAACTCAGCTATAACCACTGAACCATGAAAATGAGGTCAAGGTCAGATGACACCTGCCAGTTGGACATGTACACCTTACAGTCCTTCCATACACCGAATATACTAGACCTATTGCTTATAGTATCTGAGATATGGACTTGACCACCAAAACTTAACCTTGTTCACTGATCCATGAAATGAGGTCGAGGTCAAGTGAAAACTGTCTGGCGGGCATGAGGACCTTGCAAGGTACGCACATACCAAATATAGTTATCCCATTACTTATAATAAGAGAGAATTTAACATTACAAAAAATCTTAACTTTTTTTTCAAGTAGTCACTGAACCATGAAAATGAGGTCAAGGACATTGGACGTGTGACTGACGAAAACTTCGTAACATGAGGCATCCATATACAAAGTATGAAGCATCCAGGTCTTCCACCCTCTAAAATATAAAGCTTTTAAGAAGTTAGTTAACGCCGACGCCGCCATAGCCGCCGCCGGATCACTATCCCTATGTTGAGCTTTCTGCGACTTCGACAATTATTTAAATACATTGTTAGATTTAGCATATTAAGAACCCAAATAATGTATTTATTTTAATTTGTTCTTGTCCTAAACATGCATGAACTATTTGCCATTGGACATTAGCATTACCAACAACCAATCAATTAATCGAACAGGTGAAATATCTTCAAAAGTCCCCCTTTTATAATTGAAAAAGTAAAATCACAAAAATACTGAACTCCGAGGAAAATTCAAAAAGGAAAGTCCCCAATCAAATGGCAAAATCAAAAGTTCAAACACATCAAACTAATGGATAACAACTGTCATATTCTTGACTTGGTACAGGCATTTTCTTATGTAGAAAATGGTGGATTGAACCTGGTTTTATAGCTAGATAATAAACCTCTCACTTGTATGACAGTCGCATCAAATTCCATTATATTGACAATGATGCGTGAACAAAACAAACAGACACAATAGGTAAAATTGTCAAAAATAGGGGTACAGCAGTCAACATTGTGTTATCATCTTAATCACTATAAAAACAAACAAATGTAACAAAGAAGCACAAAAAGGCATACATCAAATTTAACATCCTCATTTTGCTTATATTATACGATTTTATATATCTATGTAAAATCCACCCATAAAGGATGGAAGGTTTTAAGTACTGGTGTAAAATCGCGCGTTTGAAATTTGCACAGGTAGACATAAAATAATTTTGTCGTTCAAAGTATGACGGGATACATAAATACAGAGTCACGTAAAATGGATATCACAAAAAACAGACTAAACAGTAAAAGTAATACGTATTAATAAATAAAATAATTGAAATGGAATGTATGAACAGTTCATTAGTCATTGTTAGTTATTGAATGGAAAATAAAGGAGCCGCCCAATATAGTACTACAAATTAAAATTAGCAAAGTGATTTTTCAATGGGAAAACCAAGTTAACAAAGACCTGTTTAATAAAACTGATGTACAAATGTATAACATGTAATTGTATAATTATGTTATTATATAAGTGATTACATATACTTTGTATGATTACCATGTTATACAAACAGTTAAATTAATATATAAGTTAATAATAACTTACCAATGTCTTCTTCTATACATGTATTTAGTTTGACCTGGCTATTGTCACTTTTACAAAAATTCATCTTAATTGAGCATTGCTTGCACATATATAGCCCTACAAATAAAAAGTGTTAAACTATAAAATAATTCTTCAATTTTGTTTTACATGAAATAAAATATATCAGACAGGAAATGAAGGGTAGTGTAGCATCACTGTGCATGTAGTTTAAATGTATGTTTTTTTCTTTTAAAAAGGGCTCTATAAGTAATCTACATACATGTACATGTACATGTAGGGTCCTAAAATTGAACTTTACAAAAGTTTGCAATGCTTTTGATTTTTTTAGTCTCCATGGCCTATTAGTTCATTAAAAAAATATTATTCTCTGGATAAAGTTGTCTAGTGTTACATGTACAGTATGTTGTATGTAAATCATGTATTTGTAGGAGGCTTTTCCACGAGATAAAAGTTTTTTTAGTAGACAAAGAGCTGAACAACTTCCAGTAAGAACTGAAAATATAACTTGGGGGAAGAGAATAAAAACCTGACCTGCTAAAGGTTGAATATGTTGAAATAGATTTTGATTATTATCATGATTCTGGTCTATAAATTGATTTTTTAAAGCAGAAAATAAATATATATTGTACCCTGGTTAATAGCTTGAAAATTAAAATTCTGTCCTAAGCTGACAAGGACATAAATATTTTGACCATTCTAACCCTCCCCCTTGCTTTTTAATCAAATGGTCCCAAGACATAACAATGTATATACGGATATATATTATTTGTTTGCACTTTGCCATAGAAAATAAATAAGATGTCTTAGAAACAGGTCAGGTGTAAAAGAATATTCACATGCCCCTTCAACACCCACCCCCCACCCCTTTTTTAATCTAGCTAATGTATCAATTGTTGGTCCCCTAATTTCAGATTGACTATATGGAACAAATGAAAATTGATTGTAAGATTTGTACCTGTTCCTACTGGAATAACTCGTTCTGTATACAGCCTGTTTTGAAAGGGTGAAGATCCTTGGTCAGCTTTGGCTTTGCTGGAAGAGGGTTGGACGAGATGTTGACATCTTCATGATCTTGCTTGACTATCATGTCAATGAATTCCATAAAAGTCCCTGTACTTCGAGCTTATTCAAAGACAAGATGATGTAACAACCATGGGAAAATAAACCACTCCTTGTCTTATATAAAATAAGGAGTCCTGTTGGAAATTCTACACCATAGTTTTCAGTATTATTCAGACTTCCTAAATGTAGATGAATGGTAGTCTGTATCTGTATGAATATGTTTGGTTACCAATGCTGGTTTCAATACCATGGTAGAGAGAGTGTCGTTGATTTATTGATTGTGCGCCAGAGCAGTTTTGACACTCTCAATCTCAATTTTGTTGCAGCAAGGTGGTTCCACTCGCTCACTTTTTTTTTTTACGAAGAATGATTTAGAATACTTTTGTTTTGCTCGTTGAAATCTAAAAACACTTTTTGCTGTTCATGAACTTATTTTTCCAATCAATATTTATCATGTTTATTCACTAAATTATTATCATGATTGTCAAATTTCTTGGCAGTAATTATTTTTTTTGGAAATGCTATTTTGGTCTTTAGTGCATTCAGATATCTTAAATAGTTTGTAATATGTAGATGTATAAGGCTGGGATAGCCCACATGCTCATCCTAGATTATTAAATTCACAAACTTCACTGTAAACATTTGTCTGCCAAACCATCACTGGGAGCTGACATGTTTGAGATCTTACCCAAGGGAGATAAGTCAATGGAAGAGCATAAAAGATGGACTCCCTGGTTTCAGACAATTTATTGATTTTTGGACTTGCAGTACAAATACGTCTTATTTCATTTTTCAGACAAATTGATTTTACTTGTTCGAATGATTTTATGAGCCATTTTAGTACCAATTGTGTTTAGAATTTAATTAAAATCAAAATCAAAATGTGTCAATTTGGGACTAAAATCACCATTCTTCCAAGGCATACATTAACATATAATAGTCATTTGCCAAGCTTAATATTTTGTTTTGATATAAAACATACCCCATAGTTAAAACCAATATAAGTTGCAAACAAATCCGGAATGGGTCTTGCAAGATAGAAGCGAATGAAAACTGCGTAAATTCATGTATGAAAAACCCCGCCTTTGTGTCCCTGCTCCTGGCAATGTGCCAAATCGTTTAAATTTTCATTTGTATTGATCATAACATAGTTAAATGGATGAGTTTCAGCTGACATTACTCTAAAAACTCAACTACCCCATTTAATATGCTTCTGGGTCATTCTTAAAAGACATAAAAAAGTTGGATTTTTCCTTGGTTTCATTATGAATTTACAGAATTATGCAAATGAGGCTGTTACTAAAAATAGATACGATTCTGGGAAAAATTAAGTGGTCAAATTCTTTTATTTTATGTCAAGGATTAAGATGATGTATAAAAATTTGTCAAGTTGTGATTGTCGATTTGGACGATTTTCTGAATATTGCATGGTTTTCTGGCGGATTGGCTCTTAACAAACAAGTGGCTATATGAGTAACTGGACATAAGGTCATACACTGATTCACAGACCTTAACAGTAATAAATGTGGAACATCTCCTCATGGTTATTGGTAAAAACAAACAAGTGGCTATATGAGTAACTGGACATAAGGTCATACACTGACTAACAGACATTAACAGTAATAAATGCTAAACAATTCCTCATGGTTATTGGTATAAACAACCGAATGGCTAAATGAGAAACTGAAGAAAGGTCATATACTGACTTGCAGACATTAACAGATATCAATCCTTAACAATTCCTCATGGTTATTGGTATAAACAAACAAGTGGCTGTATGAGAATATGGACATAAGGTCATACACTGACTCATAGACATAAACAGTATGAATGCTGAATAATTTCGCATGGTTATTGGTATAAATAAACAAACAAGTGGATATATAAGTAACTGGACACATATGCAATTCGAGATAACAAATAAGTGGAATAAGTAATCACAGGTTGGGTTTTTTTTGGGATTCGTAATTAAGCACAACATTCGCCATTACAATTATTTTTGTTAGTCGTGATAACGGATTAGAATCGTTATCACGGATTAAACTTGAATTTCTTGAAAAATTATCACAGGTTTTTATAATTTATGACGACAGATTAAATTTGTTATCACTGATTTGTATAAGTCGTGATAGCGGTATTATAAATTCGTTTCGCAGTTTGGGTTTTCAAAGTCAAACGCTGGGAATGTAAAGCCTAGCGCTGTAGATAAAAAGTAATGCGCTGGAGATATAAAGTCCGGCGCTGTAGATCTAAAGTCGAGTGCTGGAGATTTAAAATCCAGCGCTGGAGATGTAAAATCAAGCGTTGTAGATATAAAATCCTCCGCTGTCAATCTAAAGTCCAGCGCTGTAGGTGTAAAGTCCATGCAGCGATGAAGCTGCAAATTAAATTTAAATCTCAAGCGCAGGACTTTATATCCACAGCGCTGAACTTTAAAAACCACAAGTTTTTATCTGTATGAGACCATTAGGGCTCCGTAGGTGTCATGTAGCATTTCCGATGTCTTGAATCTTAACCAAATAATGGAAATTCAAACTATTAACGGTCGAACAAAATATGGATTACAAAGGAGAATTAGAGGGATTCACATTGAGGTTTAATCTTGAGTGATGTTGCCAAATTTTATTCAATGTTTATCTGCCTTCAAACCCAGAATAGGACGTGCAGTTTCAGAGGAGTTAAATGTCTATAAGAAGGAAACATATTGTGAAGGTATTCGTCCATTCCCAGAACAAGAAAAAGATCGGTTTATTGTTTTGTTGTTTATTGCGTAATGTCCAGGGACAAATATTTGAAGCATGCTCAATTCATGGAGAAATACCTTTGTAAAATAGAGGAAATTACTGAACATCCAGTGACATTTATTTTTGGATATCTTCTCAAAATGCCAGTATCTCCTTTAAAACACTTGGGTGGGGTCGCTATATGACATGATCTCCCTGCATATGTATCAAACTGTCTCCTGATTAATAACTGGTTTAGTTTTAGAAATAATTCTTTCATGTCTATGATAATTTTACTTTAAGATAGAAATCCAGGCCTTGCAGTCATAAAAATTCTGAGCGCGTTGATCGTACTCAGACTCAGATATGAACCTATCAAAATTAAAATAATAAAGAAACCTAACTTCAAGGAAAATTCAAAACGTCCCTTATCAAATGGCAAAACCAAAAACTCAAACACATCAAACGAATGGAAAACAACTGTCATATTCCTGACTTGTTACAGGCATTTCCTTGTGTCGAAATTGGTGGGTTAAACCTGGTTTTATAGCTAGACAAACCTCTTTTTCTCATAAAATTCCATTATATTGACAACAATGTGTGAACAAAATCAAAATATTGTGTTTTTGTTGCTTCGAGCACACTTTTGTACTCCCGAGTACTGAGTAAAGTTTTATGACCGAGAGCCAAGGAATGTACTAATTAAGTTTTGTTTTCACCTTTTCATCTATAATTCACGTGAGCTTATCAAACATGTTATCATACATGTACATTCATGTGCACGAAATATATCATTTCCATTATCTTTTTTTTTTTTTAATAGTTCTGACATTTGAGTAAATTTATTTATATTACTTTTTAAATGAAATTAATTTATTATGTAAACCCTTTTTTATACTTAAACGAATATCAAAATCAGACATGGATCCAGTCGTTAGCAAATATAATTGTGTTTAATATATACATGATGATCTATTATCTTACATCTAAAACATGTACATGGAAGTTTTATTTGTTAAACCAATTTGCCTAATGAATTGCTTCCTTAGTTGCACATTTCCGTTTCATAGTATACATTATTGTCAAGTATAATATTCTAATCACATTGGCAATCGACCTTAAATTTCGTTTTTAAAGGTTTAAGCGTTCCGTGTGATGGAATACAGTAAATCGGTACGAATGCACACAACTTATTAAAAAAGTGTTGATATTTGAAAAAAAATCTAAAGAAGTTTTCATATATCAATTGCCTTTTTCCTGCCCTTATCCAGCATACCAAAATTTCTGTAGATATTCTAATTTCCGAAATCAATCGCTGTCCAACTACTTTTCATAAGCTGACTATTTGAAGGTTTAATTTGTTATCGTACTTTCATAGTTCTAAGTGTTATCATTTATCATAAAAAAAAAGTTCAGAGTTTAGCAATTAAACCAGAAAAAAGACAAAATAGTTCAGCAATTCATATGTTTATAATACAGTAATAATGTATCAATTTGATGACAGAAAAGTAGACTTCATTCCAAATCAATAACTACAAAACATCTTCTTAAAGCGTTACTGCATCCGGAAAATTTGAGATGATGACACTTTTCCTGTTTTATCAAAACCTATTACTCTTTTTATAACAAGAGAAAATATAAAATATTCATTTATCACTTCTATGTTCATCAGATGTAAACATCTCATATCTTCGGGGCTGACGCCCCTCATACATGAGAAGCTTTCATCTAATACTAGGACAAGTGACATTGCCATAACAATAATAAGTCAAAATGTCATAAGTAATACAACAAGTACATTAATACATGTACATGTAGGACGTGAACAAAATTCATATGTCTATTTATAATAAAGTGCAAAAGAGCAATCAATAGAACATTGTAATGTGCATATTTATGTAAATAATACGATCGAATAATAGAGGTAATAAATATATTATACATACGTGACTTCCTGCTAGATTACGTGTTTTATTATCCGGTTATATTTAGTTTACATAACTGTATGATAGTATATGTTTTCTGAAAACCAGTATTTTGGTCATTAAATCGATATTGTGCATAGTCTTTTGAAATGCTCGGTTTAGCCTTTTAACGATTTTTACAGCATTGTTCAAGCTCGTTGTTTTATATGAAATGATTAGTTTATAATGTAATGAATTAAGTCAGATATGATATAATTTGCAGGTCATTAATTTTACACAAATACATATTCATATCATATGTGTACATTACCATGCATAGATTCATGCATTTGAAGGTGCCAATAAAGTTACACGTTTATTTCTTTGAAGGATATCTTACTATGCTCATAGGTGGAGATCGCGAAAATAGTAATGCATTTAGTCAATCAAAAAAGACGAAAAATGGTCACAAAAAAAAACCCCAAAAAAAACGAAATGGACCGGAGCTAGAATGTAAATTTGTTTTGTTCAAATATACACATAATTGCATTTGTCTATAGATTAAACATTGTTGATTTACTTCCCTCATTGCAATGATTGATGAATAGGAAAATGTGCATTATGTATAAAAGTATGTACACACCATAACTTGTCGTATCATGCTTTAACTGTAAGTATTAGATGTAAGTTTCTCCTATCTGAGGTGCGTTAGCCCCGAAGATATCAGACGATTATATCTGATTTACATAGAATTTTAACTAAATATTTTATCTTTTCTATTGTTCAAAAAAGTCTTAGAGCAATTAGTTTAGATAAAGCAGGAAAGGTGTAATTTTCTGAAAATTTCCAGATGCAGTAACACTTTCAGAAGATGTTTTGTAGTTATGGATTTGGAATGAAATCTTAATTGTGTCTATTTTTTTGTCATCAAATTGATACCCTTATTACTGCTTTTGATTGGCTATATAATATTAAGAATGGAAATGGGTCAACACAGCAAGAAAATCTCGCACTCATATTAACTCCAAAACATATAAATGAACTAAAATTAAAAATCATACAAGACTAACATAGGCCAGAGCCTCCTGACTTGGGACAGGCGCAAAAATGCGGCGGGGTTAAACATGTTTTGTGAGATCTCAACCCTCCCCCTATACCTCTAACCAAAGTAGAAAAAAACAAGCACACAGCAATACGCACAGTAAAACTCAGTTGAAAAGAAGTCCGAGTCCGATGTCAGAACAGATATCAAAAGAAACTAAGCAAAATGACAATGATACATAAATTAACAAAGGACTACTAGCAGTTACTGACATGCCAGCTCCAGACCTCAATTAGACTGATTGAAAGATTATGTCTTCATCATATTAAAATCAAGCACAATCCCTCCCGTAAGAGGTTTAGTAGCATACCACCATAAAATATATGAGAAGAACATAACCCGTATCATGCCAACAACTGGTTTTAGAATAAATGTGTTTATTTCCGATGCGAAGACCCTATGAGTGAATAAATATTAATACCAAATTATGCCATCTTTAATGACCTGACAACAGTATCGTAACTATATCCCTTATGAATAAGTCTGTTGAAAGGTTTGGTTAGCGTTTGAGGTGAATGCCGACATTTTTGCGCTTTCTAAAGAACATTACCATAAAAGATTGGATGTGAAATACCTGAACGTATAAGATGTCTGCATGTTGATTTATATTTACGAATGATGTCCTTGTACCGATGATAAAATTAAGTAAATGTTTTGACTAGTTTGTGATATCGAAAACCCTGGTGTAATCATTTTTCCGTAATACAGAAATTTCTTTCGTT